CCCCTCCACTCTTCCCCTCCCGGGCCTGCCTCTTCCTCCCTCCCTGGCCTGAGGTCCCTGGATGCTCTCTCCCTGGCTGGCTGGCTCCGTGTGCCCTCCTTGGACCAGGCACACCACCCTGGGTGGAGGGGTCACCGCGGAGAGAGTGTGTCTGAGAGAGAGTCAGGGGTAGAAGGGCTCTCAGCCCCTCTGGAACTGGAGGAAGAGAGGCACATTGCCCATTCCAGGCCTCCTGCTGCCTGGGCCAGACCTCCTTCCCACACGGGGGGCGTTTCTGGCTCACTAAGGCGCAGGAATCTGTACCAAGGGCAGGAGCCTCTCCCGAGGCTGCATCCCAGGCTCTGATGCTGGGGGTGAGTGACGGGGTCACTGCACTGCTGTCTGTTTCTACTTCTGACACCACTGCCACGTTTGGCACACACCTGCAGGGCCCAGCCCAGTGTCCCTGACCTGGTATCTGAATGGCATGTGGTCAGACTCAGCACCCTGCCCTCCCCACCCAGCTGCCCCTGTACCCTGTCGGGAAGGGGAGGGCAGGCAATGGCATTGGGTGACAGCTGGCAGGTCAGATATGTCCCAAATGCGTTGCATGGATTGGCTTCCTTAATCCTCATTTGAGGTAGATGCTTTCCTTCTCACCAGCCGGGTTCACAGAGGCGGAGACTGCGCCTCAGAGGAGTTAAGTGACCGTCTAAGGTCCTGGTGCTGGATTTGAGCCCAGACAGTTGGAGCTACGGGCCCTTCCTCTCATCTCAGCCTCTGAGCCCGATGACCCCTGGAAGGGGCAGTGGATAAAAAGGGAAGCTCTCTTCTTACTGTGTGAGACTCAGCTCTGCCTTCTAATTTTCTTCTTCTTTTTAAATTCTTTGATCCTCACCTGAAGATATGTTTTTTTAAAAAATATATTTTTATTGATTTCAGAGAGGAAGGGAGAGGGAGAGACAGAAACATCAGTGATGAGAGAGTATCAATGATAAGCTACTGGCAGTGGATAAAAAGGGAAGCTCTCTTCTTACTGTGTGAGACTCAGCTCTGCCTTCTAATTTTCTTCTTCTTTTTAAATTCTTTGATCCTCACCTGAAGATATGTTTTTTTAAAAAATATATTTTTATTGATTTCAGAGAGGAAGGGAGAGGGAGAGACAGAAACATCAGTGATGAGAGAGAATCAATGATAAGCTACCTCCTATAAGCCCCATACTGGGGATTGAGCCTGCAACCTGGGCATGTGCCCTGACCCGGAATCGAACTGTGACCTTCTAGTTCATAGGTGAATGCTCATCCACTGAGCCACACCAGCTGGGCAATATATATATATATATATAATTTTTAGAGAGAGAGGAAAGGAGAGAGAGAGAAACATCGATGTGAGAGAGAAACTTTGATTGGTGCCTCCTGTAAGCACCCCCACTAGGGATTGAGCCCACAACAGATGTATGTGCCCCGACCGGGAATTGAGCCCAAAACCTTTTGGTGCATAGGATGATGCTCCAACCAACTGAGCCACCTGGCCAGGGCCCTTCTAATTTTCTTTAAGTTGGAGGCCCAATTCTTCAAAGTGCCTCTGTCAGCCCCTGAGTTTAGATAGGTCACAGTTAATTGCTGAGTCCCTGGCTTCGAGGCTGGCATTGCAGGGCGGTCCCTGGGGCCTGAGCACTGGGCGGCCCTCTTGAGGGTGGCCTGGCCTTTTGAAGGCATGGAAGGCATGCTCCCTGGGGCTCTGGCCCTGGGCTGGGATGGGTTGGGACAGGCTGGGACGTGGATCCCACTGCTGCTTCCTCCCTGGCCAGGCCGTCTCTCCTGGGAGCAGTCAGAGAGCTGTCTTGGCTGTCACAGCTGTGGCTGCCAAACAGGAAGAGCAGTCAAAAGGCCCCAAACAAACACAGCTCCATGGAAACACCTAGCCCTCCCCTTTCCTCCCCATCTCTCCCCCAGCCGCCCGCCCTCCCCCACCCCCCCGGGTCATTGTCCCGGGTGAAGTGTCCAGGCCCCTGCCTTTCCACCCCCATGGAAGACCTGACACGACCCTCTCCTGCCTTGATATGGAGCCTGGAACACCTAGGGGGTTCAGGGAGCAGGACGCCTGGCAAGGATGGGGGAGGGAAGACGGAGAGTGGGTAACATTTTCATTCTCTTTGGGGATGTTGAGATACCCGGGCAGTCTCCAAACTCCCCCTGAGAGTGCTCCCACACAAATCTGAGCCTTCCTGTGGGGCATGAGCTTGGGTGACCCCAGGGGCAGAGCAGCATCAGTGAGGGAGCCCCTCTGGGACCCTGGAGGCCTGTCCTGGTTGGTGCTTACATAGTCCAGGGACAGAAACCACAGCACCCACTCCCTCCTCCTCCTCCTCCTCCTCCTCCTCCTCCTCCTCCTCCTCGAGTCTCCCCGCTTTGCCTCTGGTCCCCTGAGCTGGTGACAGGATGCGATCCTGATCTCTCAGGAGGCAGAGAAAAGGCGGGAGGGGCAGGGCTGGCCAGAGGTAAAGGAGTGGGGGAGGCTCGGGCTGGGCTGCCGGGAGCCTCCTGAAGTTGGTCCTCAAAGAAGGAAGGGGGTTTCCCCATTTGCTCTGCTTCCTCCCGCCTTCCGTTTCCCTCTTCACCTCTCTCCTTCCCACACCTCTGATCTTCTCCCTCTCATTCTCACCCACCTCTTCTCTCTTGCCTCCCTGTCTACCTGTCCCTCTCAGTGTCCTGCCCACTCAGAGCCCTGGCCCGGGGCGCCTCTGTCTCAGCCCTGGGGCGGGAGGCGTCTGGGCAGCCCCCGCCACCGGGTAGATGGCATTCTAGGCACGGCATCCCTGTGTCACAGTTTCAGCACCTCCTCGGTGCCTTGCTCCCTTTGGCCTGGATCCTGGGACAATGCAGGGCAGCGATGCATAGTTGTTGGATGAATGTCTCAGTGAGCACATCCCAGCCTGGCTGGGGCCCTGGCGCAGGACAGGGCACTGGGAGAGACAGGCAGGGACTCTGGCAGGGAGGAATCCTAGACTCAGGGCATGATGGCAAGGTCAGGCCACTCCTTCAGGAAGCCTTCCCAGATGAGCCTGCTCAGGTTCCTGTCCATCTCCCCTCCTCTCTTCTAAATGCACCTCCACGTCTAGGCTTTCTGGGTCAGGGCCTGCTCCCTGACGTGACGAGGCTGGACAATTTGGCCTCCTTTCTCTGCACTGTCCCTTTGAGAAGGCCTGTCCTGAGGCCGCGGGAGGGAGGCCCTGCCCAGTGGCTAAGTTCTGGGGATGGGATGGCCTAGGCCCGGGGCTGAGGGTCTTGAGCCACCTATGGCTGCGTGGAAAACACTTCTGAGGGCCTCAGAGCTGGGGGTAGGGGAGCTGAAAGTAGATTTGGGATGGGAGAGGGTTAAGAAAGGGGGACTCACTGCGAGAATAGAGAAGTTAAGACAGTGTCTATTAAGCCTCCTCCCACATGCCAGGCAAGACTATGGAGACACGGAGAGGCACCAACCCCGTGAGGGTGTCTGCGATGCCTTCCCAGTGGGGCCAGTGAGCAAAGGCTTGAAGGAAGAGGGAGAGCTGACCAGGAGGCAGAAGTGCGTTTCAGGCGAAGATACTTGTGGGGGCGAGAAGCTGTTTGTGTGGGATGGTGACGATTACGACAGCCCGTGTCACTGGAGTGTCAGAGTTGCTGGGACTGCTCCGGGCCCGGGGAGGATACAATCAAAGCATTTCATTACTTCACATAAAGTCCTTCAGCGGCTCCCTGAGGACTTTGGGATAAAGTCTAGATTAGTGGTCGGCAAACTGTGGCTCGGCAAACCTCGGCTCGCGAGCCACATGCGGCTCTTTGGCCCCTTGAGTGTGGCTCTTCCACAAAATACCGACTTCTGCGCATGGGCCACAAAGTTTCAATCGCACTGTACGTGTGCGCCCGCACGTGGTATTTTGTTTAAGAGCCACACTCAAGGGGCCAAAGAGCTGCATGTGGCTTGCGAGCCGCAGTTTGCCGACTCTACTCTAGAAGATTTCTTGGAACATCAAACATGATCCTTTGCACCTGTTGCCCTTCTTTCTCTCTGGGTTTCAGCTCCTCGATACCCGCCTTCCTTCCACATTCCCTGCCGATTTCCACCCCCACCAAACTGACCCGGTTTCTCTGAAC